ATTCGCCTGATAACAATGACGTCTATGCTCGCATTTTTAAAGCGCAAGATCCAGACGCTGAATTTATTCGAAGACATTGAAAAGACAGATGAAGAGGATATCAGAAATCAACGAATTTCAACGTTTACCTTTCTAATTCTACTCATGTTATCAATTACTGTTCTTATCGTTTATTCGCTATTGACACCACCAACGAAAACTGTCGTCCTAAGAGAGCCGACATTACCAACTTACAAGCAATTACAAGAGAAATATTCAAATACAATTGTTTGTCCATGTACAAATATTTTGTTACAATACCAAGACCTCATTAAATCTTTGAAACCAACGTATAACCAGATTTGTTCAAGTGATTTTATTAGTGATGAATGGTTACAGCACCTGAACTACCGTCAATTCAACAACATTAAATACAACTATCTCTATGATTTTCGATACTCAGCTTATGCCTTCTTCGGCATGATCCAGTCACTGTGCAGTCTAGTTTCAGTTACAATTGATGATCAGTTAATTGAATTTGATACCTCAACATTATTTTCTGAAACTATTCTTTCTGAACAAACATTTAATGCTACTGTCGAAGCATTACAAGATCAGTTTACACAGACAACTGCAAAATCCTTTCAGATATCACTCAATTCACTGAGCAATATTGCTCAAGACAATCAGATTACAAATCGTCTAGAAACAGATACTCATCTAGCATATATCTATTATGAATTTTTCTATGATAATTTTGTATATTACGAACCTCTCAGTGTTTCCTCTGGTTCCAGAACATACGACAATCACACATGTTTATGTTCAAAGTCACCTTATTGTAAAACAATGACCGGTATTTACGATGCTTATGCAGGGCAATACCCAGCTCCCTTTGGGGTGATAAATTCAATCCAGGGTAATCTTATATTTCCCGTGCCTGGAGTTAATGTTGGATGTACAGTTTTGCAGGCAGTATTGCAATCCGATTTGCAATGTTTTTACAACCGTTCATGCCTATCACAACTGAATTCATATCTGAATGATTCACCTTATCCGTTCTATGCTAAACCACTCCAGGTCACGTCTTCTCTTTCCCCAGCAACAATCGGCAGTCTCGTGAACAGTTTGATGGTCGATAACTGGACGCTAACTGCATCTTACTCGTCATACTTTGACACATGTCATTCTAGTCAATGTAAATACGTATATGTTGAAAAGTTTGATATCATCTATACAATCACAACAACAGTTGGATTCATTGGAGGAATTGTGACGATTTTAATGATTCTCATGCTACCAGTGGTTACATTTATTCGGAAACGATCAGTAAAACCACAATCGTTAACAACTATAGGTTAGTATATAGTCCCAATTCTCTAAGTTTTCAACCATTTATACTGTGCGTGCTTTTTTTGCAGAAAGTACTACTCATGATGCTGTCAGCTTTAAACGACGTTTATACTCCTGGCTGTCAAAACTGCAACAATTCATTCTAAAATTAAATCTTTTTCGTATTCCCGGGGATCGAACTGCTGATGATCGAAATCAAATTCTGTCTACACGAGTATTCATTGTTTTAATGATAGCTGCGCTACTCATTCTCATTCTCTTCACATCACTTAGACCAATTACATACACAGTCACAGTTCCACAACCAACAGTGAACGATTATCGTGAACTTGAAAATAAGTCACTGAACACACTTGTATGTCCCTGCACACAGATATCAATTGACTACGAAACATTTATTACGTTCTCTCCATCTCTGCATCAAATATGCACTTCAGAATACGTTACGTCAAATTGGACAAATTATTTAGTATCGTCGCCTCGCAATCAATCACTGTTCTTCCAAGATATTCGTATAAAAGGTTCTCAATTATTCATGGCTTTATCATCATTCTGCAGCCTATCACTACAGTCGATCGATAGCGAACTGACCGTATTCAATTCAACAAAATATATTACAGAAAATGTGAAAAGGGAAACACTATTTCAGACTGATGCTCAACAGATCGTCAGTTTATTTACTCGAACAACACTCAGTTCTTTTAGCCAAGTAATATCAATTATTCGACAAATGATTGTTGGAAATTCACTACTTTCTGGAACATTATCAAATTACCAATTTTCAAGCTACGCGGTAGAATTCCCACAAATTATGCAGCAGTTCGCTCCGTACAATGACGGTAGTATTTGTTCCTGTAAAACAGAACCAACGACGTGCAATATTAGATCCGGGATTTTTAAAACCGAACATGACGATTCCGATTTACAGTCACATAGAGTCCTAGAATTCGCTATACCTGGATTTCTTGTCGGTTGTTACAATATTGAGGCAATGTTTGCATCTACATTCGAATGTTACTACAGTCAATCATGTCTGAATACGATTTCGAATCTGCTTTATTCAATCTCTCTATCTCCATTCACAGCTATGAATTATTCCACAGGAACCTCACGCTACAATGTAACAACATCGATCAAAGATATTGTACAGCAACTAATGGTTGAACAATGGAATAATAAGACGTCTTTCGATGCATACTTCAAACGATGTAAACCAGAGTCATGCGTGTATACGTACAGCAAACGGGTTAATCTGATCTATGTTCTAACGACAACAATTGGATTGATCGGCGGTTTGACGACAGTGCTTCGAATATTTGTACCGTTCATTATCAAATCTATTCGTCGAAAAAAACGAATTGTAACAGTCAGCGATAGCGATAACAATGGTAAGTTGCAAGGAGGGAAGGTTGCGATACACCAGATTTTACTCCTATTTAAGACACGACGCATGGCATCATCGAAAGATCGAGCTGACCGCCCCCATCGAAGTGGGTCTCGTACGCAGCTTTTTTGGGCGGAAGAACGCGGACTTGTTTTTAATAAAAAAAATTTTTCTACTTGATTCTTGTAATCTCAACTAGGTGAGTTCATCGCCGAAGAGTCTGCGTATGCTATCTTCGGGAGGCTTGAGACTGGCCATGACCAAAATTGTAATCGGCTCGACTGATTTTAAGAAATTGCAAAAAATGCCTGCAACTTTTGTACAAAACATTCTGAGGGTTAATTCAAGAGTCAAAAATGTGAAGAATTCTCCACCTTTTCGACTCCTGCATCAGCCTGAGAAATGCTTTGTACAAAAGTCCGAGGTATTCATTTTTTGCAATTTGTTAAGATTGGTCGCTGCAGCTCGAACTCTGTGATAACCAATCTGGTGCATACCTAGTCCCGGCATCGGTATTGTAGAGCAACTAGAATCAAAGGAAAGATAACTGGTAAGTCACTTGTGTAGACGGATCTAACTGAAATCTATAAGGATTGTCCACTGTCTGAGACTCACCAATAACATTCGCAGAGCTTCAGTTTGACTCAGCAAAGCTCTTTTAACGGTGACTGATTTACAGATCAAAAGGCAATCTGTGTTTTTTCTAGGATCTGAACAACCGATTACATGGACTGTCAGGTGTCGAAATCAGATAAACCTGGTTACAACTCTCTTGCTGACACTGAATTTCTTCAAGAATCCAAACAAAAGAACGGCAGAGTATTTAAGACGTCAAATAATCAGCACACGTCTCTACATCTTGCTCCTATCCGGTTCACTAATTATTCTTCTCTTTTACGTGTCATTTGAAAATGTAACACTCACAGTAACAAACAAGAACCCGTCAGCAGAGCAATTCAGTAAACTCTATCAACGATATCCACAAACTACCCTATGTCCATGTACAAATATATCAATCTTCTATGAAACATTTATTCTATTAGAACCGAAATTTCATTCTGTTTGCACAGGTAATAGTTTTCTAACATCACCTGAATGGCTAGAAATTGATTATAATTACACTGGCAACCTGCATGCTGATTATCCATCGTTTCAAACACCGTTGAACGATTTTCGACAAATTGCCTCACCATTCGGCCAATTATTATCTTCATTCTGTCAACTGTCCACTGAAACATTTGACACAAATTTTCTAATATTCAATTATACTATATTGATTACACCAAACCTGATTACTAACGATCAATTTCAATTGCAAACTATTGGATATATCAATCAATTTGTACAAAATACTGCAAGATCCTTAAACAGTTCTCTACGTATTATCAATACTCTGATACAATCCAATCAGTTCATATCTGGTTTGGCAACAGATTCAATTTTAACTATCGATCCGCACTACAATCGACACTACGATACACAAATTTATGATTATGATATACAATATGTTTATGATCGCCTTGATCAAGAATATAATTCTACATTACAAGGAATTGAATGCAGTTGTCAGTTAACACCATTATGTGTACAACAGGCAGTAATCTATGATCTAAGCTTATTTGCACCAACACATGGTGCAAATTCGACAACAGTTCTTTTTGCAATACCAGGTAAAGAAAGAAAACTACACTTTCCCAGAGAAGTAAAAGCTGCGAGTACTAAAGCGCAAGAAGGAACAAAACTCAACGCCCTAAGATATATATCTTAGGAACAGAAAATCGTGGATCACTACTAATATTGCATGATCGATCATGCTGCAAGAAAAAAGTATACAAGGAAAGGACGAAAGTGATGATCATCTTATCTAATTTTGAAGCGCAGAGTCTGGACTTTCTTTTTATCTATTTAAAAGTTTCCCAGATCGTTTTTGCTATGAGAAAAATCTTTTGGAAAACTAGAAAAGATCGATGTCTGTGCGTTACCAAAAATTGAGTTTACTTTATTTTTTGACTAAACTAAAGCGATTCATTTTTAAACTCTGATTGATCTTCCGCTTACTTTTGATGGGATATCTAATGCACATTGATTTTTCGTCCAAGTGCTTTAGTACCGAGAAACTTGGTAACGCACAGACACGACTTTTCGAGGCCTCCTATTAACACATATATAGACCCACTGGAAGTTGTTTGTTTCAGCTATAGCTCGAAGTCCGAGATACACTGGCATGGTTTTTGTTGCTGACTACTTAATTTGAAATAAAACGCAGAAGATAAAAACAAAAAAGCTTTTTAGGGAATTTCTAGAAAACATCGTCAGGAATTAGAGTAATCCCGATATGAGAAAAAAACCTGCAGCTTATTCACAACTAAACATATCAACTTAAATGTCAGAGCCTAGAGATTATGCACCTTGCTGAATCCAATGGTAATATCAGTTTTCTTCCATTTTGACTTTCATAATGGGATTCTAGGAAACATGGATTTTGAGCTTACAGGTCTCGGGATCATTTTTATAAAAAGTTCTACGATAATTGAAATTTTTCTTCAATGCACTCATCGAATACAGCACATTGCACTGTATCGAAAACCTAATTTGATGAAAAAAAGATTAAGTTTTGGAGGGTTTTCGTTGAAAAACCAAGGTTTTCAGAAGATCTTTTCTTGTAGCAAGAGGTGGAAAGCTAAATTTCTTTTTCTTTTTGTTTTGAACTTGCTAAACTATGTAGTTCAAAGTATGAAGTTGCCAAAATTATAGCTCAATAACTTAAGGTTTTCTAAGAGTTTTCTAGAACCTTTCTAGAAACCGTTTCCTAACTGAAAAGTTCAACATAACAATATACTGATTCTTTTTCATAAATGAATAGATTAAAGTGTCCTCCATAAAACAGAACCTAAGTGAGACCTTCATCTGACACGATTGCACAGGGAACGAGATTTTCCTAGAAGCCCTAGGGCTACTTTTCATTCCAGTCAACCAATCTCAGCAATGCATGGAGACATAACTTTCCACTATGCTGAATCTCGTGGCAGAAATTTTTAGAAAATTTTTTAAAATCTATTGGAAACCAAGTTTTTAAAAAAACTAAAGCTACTTTTCGAGATTTTTTCAGGATAGGAACTACTTTAGTAGGATGTATAACTTTGCCCTACAGTTATCCTCGACACTTTCCATTTCTTTACCTCGGTTTTCCAGAAATCCTCTTAGAAAACTGTGGTACGCAGACACAAAGAAGACTCAGAAAACATTGAAGTACATTGAATTCTTAATCCTGAACAGGAATATAGAGTCGTAATAGCTCAATATTCTTTTCACGAAGTAAGATTTTTAACGGGTTTTGTGGAAAACTGAAGGTAAAAAATGGAAAGTGTCGAGGATAGCTGTAGATGAGTTGATTCTACCATCAGAATCAACTCGTCGAGAGCTACAATTTGATACATAATTGTGCAATGTTTCGTTCATTTTTACCGACTTCGGTTTCACCCTCACAAAAAACTTGAGGTGTCTAGAACACCACTTTCCACACGTTTTTTATAAAAAAACGTAAGCGAGACCTTTAGATTATTTTTGATGCTCTACACGACGGGCAAAATGAAATTTTCGCGGCTACTAGGGAATGTAATAGTGGGCGGACCTGCGCGGAAGAACCAACCTAGAAAAGAGGGTCTTTTTGTCTGTGCGTTACTGACCAGTATTTTACTGATAAAATCCAAACAGTTAGACAGTTGAAGCTAAAACTTTTAAGCATTATAGTATTTGTTTACCTACATATTTGTTTAAAATGTCAAGTCTTTCTCTCTTATTGTTCTCAACATACATTCGTTCGAACTTTAAAAAATGTCTGTTCGTTACCTGCGTTTTTCATGTCTAGTATTTATATACGTCGGTATACACACACACAGAGCCGTCTTTATCTTCATAAAAGATCATGAAAAGAAATGTGGGATTGTATGCAAATATATTTAACGAGACATCATATAACGGGTGGGCCAGAATAAAATAGTTTCTCAGTATTGTTTCAAGTTGGTCAAAAAACAACTTAATCCTGAACTTTTCGTGGAAGTGGCACAAAGATATTCTTTTTAACTTTTGGGGTGTGAATATCATCGAAGGAGCATTTATATCAACAAAAGAAATCGTTACCTGCGTTTTTCATGTATATCCTTCGCACAGTAGACAAGTTTGGCTAAGCAGGCGAACATTAGCTTTATCAGTGGACTAAAACTATCTGAACCCTGTTTCTATCGGTTTTCGACGATCCTCTTTCCAATGTCATGGTTTCTGGGCTTCGAGAAAGTTGTTTAAACAATTTCCCAGAGATCCGTCCATTGAAAAACCGCTCAAAAAATTTTTTGAAAAAATCGTCCAACACCTATAAAAACATTTTTTGGACACGTCAGTTTTTACGCTGATTCTGAATATGTAGTTACTTTTTACGAAAACTGGATAAAAACAGAAAAAACGGATGAAGACTCGTACGGAAAATCTATAACTCCGGCTAGGTACACTGGGGCGGTTTTGGGCTAACAGCAAACATACATCATACATCAAATGATGTTTACTGAAATTTTTGTTTGATTTCCAGTTGCGCTGAAGTGCGCGCTTTCACTTTATCAAATACAGGTTTTTCGAAAACGCTTAGCCTGCAGAGAAAATCTCTTTTCTCTGTTCCCATGTGTCTTAGAAAAAAGTTTTTTTGCAAAATGAGAGAACGAAAAGCCTGCTTTTGAACCGTGTATTTTTTCCAGATGTCGCATCCTGATCTGATAGAAACAAATATTTTATCATTATTGCTCTGTTTTTACATAAAAATTTCTTAGTTGAAGCTTAGGAAAAAATTTTACCGCCAAAATAGTGGAGCGTATGCTGAAGTATACGATCTGCTACCGAGAACTTGAAAAGTGTACTTTCGTTTTTCACGTAATGTCCACGTTGTTCTCGACTGCATTTCGTTCGCTTCTTAGTCAGTGAAAATAGCCAAAAAAGGTGATACAAATCAGACTCTACTTCCGCCTCCGTCGGATTAGAATTTGTACCATAATTATAACTCTGTCTGCTTTGCTAAAAAAAGGGCTTTATGTCGGATGCTACATGGTTGAAGCTGTACTACAAAGTGATCTACGTTGCTTTTATGATCTAAATTGTATACATAATCTAACGTCTGCGCTCAATCTCAACACGAACAACGACAATTTTACTACGGTTTATAGTGTTTCCAGCTCAACAAGTGGTTATCAACCGGAAACACTAATAAGTCAGCTTGTTCAAAACTTGATGGTCGAACAATGGTCCAATCAAACTAACTATACAGCCTATTTCAACGAATGTAACCCTCAAAACTGTACTGCAACGTATGTGAGTCATGGTAATCTAGTGTACATTGTGACGACGACAATCGGGTTAATTGGAGGATTATCAAAAGTCTATCACTTTACAGTACCCCTCGTAGTCGAACTGTTTCTGTTACGAATCATTCCTTTTATACGACAGAAGTTGAACAGAAACAGAATTGTATCGATCGAAAATGGTGCAGTTTAAATTAATGGACGTCTATCTGTTCATATACGTTGTTCCTTTGCTTCTAAAAATACATCTCCTTACGAAATTGCTGGATTATATGCATTTAGAAAACATGATAATGAAAAACGTGCGCCAGTGTGTATTATGCATTCTTGATAGCTCAAGTACGATTTGTATTCATAAGTACTGTAGTCGATAAATGAGTTTCGCTTCCATATCAAATAAACTCCATTCAATGTTCTATCAAATGGCTTGAAAAACTTTGTTTTCTACCTTCCAGAAAAACTCGATAAGTTGACGACGTCTGAAGCTATATTTTCTTAGGAAAGAATTAAAAGAAAGGACGTCTGTAGCATAATCGTATGTTTCGCTATGACACCGCTTGCTACAGGAGAAACAATCTGTTCATCTTTAAGAGATTTTTAGAGGCAGGATCGACAGAAAGCCCCTTAGAAAACATTTTTGAAACCACTTGTTCAGAAACTGTACGGTTAAAAACTTGTCAGAATAGCTTTCATAACCTATGTTTGCCTGCCCTATCCACAACTTTCTATTGTGTACAGTAGACAGAATTTTCAGAATCTTTATTTTCAAAATTACATAACAAAATAACAGAAAAATTTTCACAAGGACGAGACATCAAAATT